ATCCCTAGCTAAGCAACGGCATAAAGCCTTATATGTCATTCTGAAACTGTCCAGTAGGGGTGAAAAGGAACTACCAAGAAAAAAAAAAGAAAAAAAAAATCCATTCATGGAAAACATTGACTATGAGAGCGTTGTCCTATGTCTTCAAAGTTATCCTGGAAAAATACTTGGCAGCTGTTCAGTGGAATTAGTGCGAATACTTAATTACTTACTTATAATTACTTACCCCATCTTTAATTAAAACAACATAATCTCTAAGATAAGCAACGTCCTCAAACCTCATACGTCAGCCGCAGTGTCAGATTGTCAGAGTTCCTACGCATCCTGGAAAACCTGGAAATCTGAAGAAAAAAAAAATTGAACTGAAACTGAAAAGGCCATGTCTGTTAGCTCAGCCGTGATTGTAAAAACAATTTATTCAGACTGCAGCTCATTGATGAAATTAAATAAATATATACAGTATATAACAATAAGAAGATCAGAAGCGCGTGGCGTCTGAACCGTTTACACTTCACCCGGCTGCTCTCCTGGCCGCGCTGCAGCACCAATGCAGCATTAATGAGCAGCCATAATGACTAAAGGCAGTCAGTTATAGTTTAATGGAGCTTGAACACCCAGCTGACAGTTTACCATCTAGACACGGAGAGAGAGGTGGATCGTGGGAGTCCAGGGGAAGAGGGCAGTCCTGCAGCTCAGCAGTTCAACCCTCACGCCCCCGTTTGTCAAAGTGCACACAGCGGAAAGAAAGCGAAAGGTGAGGACGGCGGTGGAACTAGTTCATATAATTAGGGTCTGTGTGTCACGGCTTTAGATGTTCGACGGCAGGAGGTCGAAATCCTCTCGTAAACAGTTCAATATGAACTGGGTATTTTGGTTTTTTTACCTTTCAATATCTAAGTGATCTAAACCAGTGGTTCTCAATTGGTGGGTCACGGTCCAAAAGTGGGTCACGGACTACTTTTCAGAGGGTCATGCGCCTAAAAAAATTTATTTATTAGTTATTCACATTTCTCAACAGTATGTGGCGACACCAGCCTGTAATCTGAGTTTTGACATCTGACGTTTCACATCATAGAACAAGACGAGCAAACTCTATTTACAGATAATAAATCATTTATTTTTGTGGATTTGGATTTTTTTTCCAACAGTCCTCCAAACACCAGCTGCCCTGAAAACTCAAAAATATAGTAATAATTTGAAGTAATATTAATTCTTAGAAATCATCAAATGATTTAAGTGATAAAAGATTGTATTGAATGTTTCAGCAGCATGTGCGATTGCACATTGTCTCCTCTGTGACTGTTACCCGGCGAGCTGATGTTTTTTCTCCGGGAGCCTAACCTTGACAGATTATTGGCTACACTGAGAAAAGCCAAAGTGTTTCATAGGTTGAAAATATTGGCAGGGAACTGCATCCTTGTGAGGTGAGAAGCTGAGCTGGCCATATTGTGTATTGATCCTCCTCGTGCCGTGATGGCGGCACTTAATTAGATTTATATTGTAAACAAAGACTCACGGTATGAAATTTGAATTAGCAGGTAAGTGTTATCCATCACGGCAAATAATAATATTTTGTGCGGTGTGATGCAGTATTGGTATTCCTGAGATTTATCAGGGCTGTTAATGGAGCGGCTCATCTTCTCCCTGCAGAGCTCACTGCAGGCTGTGGAGCTGCGTGTAGCCTGTGTGCTCTCATCACCGTCTGTCTGCAGGCGCTGCTCAGTGACAGGAAACACTGACTGACAAATACAGGCCAACATACGATAGGCAGCCTCTCCACGCTTTTTTTTTTTTTTAAACATCTACATGAAGCTTTAAGAGCTTACACCACTCTCCACTGCGTCCCCCCCTGCTGGGCTGGGCTGCTTACTGACCGTACCTTAGCAGTCATTGCTCCGGGAAACTCCACATTGTCCGGTGCTAATCAGATTAGAACGTCAGGAGGTACGGCTTCAAATGCTGTCAGAAAACCTTAAGGATAGGGAGCAACTTATTGGATTCCAATTCCGATGATGTAATTAACCTTCCAGCCTCTTCCCGACAAACGGTGTCTTTATGGATCAGGGGCGTTGGCGAGCGAGGTCTGCTTTTAGACCTCGTTTTGAGCCCCAGATATCACTCCGTACACGATGGAGGGAAGAGCAGCGGTGCACGTGATGCGTTAGTGTTCAGAGAAAAAGGTCAAGACAAAAGGGTTCATACGAGGATTTAATGAGAGAAGCCGAAGCTCAGGTTCAGACCTTTGCCTCCCTCGGTTTTATCTCAGGATCAAGTGAATTTCTGTTCCTGTTTGTGGTCAGAGGAGATTTAGCCGGATCTGCTGCTAGTTTGAGGAAGTTACCACATGTTCCTGCTGCTGACTTAAAAAGTTCCTCCTGTCTTAAAATTATAAGACCTTTTACCACATGCGAAGCTAATTGTGCAAATTCTGACCAATCATACCATAGTAGTTGAACACAGTTCTGCCTTAATGTGACAAGAACACGCTCCAAGAATTCCCAAACTAGGAATCTCCTCCTTTTTAGTATCCCTAAGTTCTTGTTTCTCACGGAATTTAAAGTTTCATTCCATAGTACTCTTTCAGACAAAAACAGTTTTCTGGACTTCCTAGATTTGACCCTTAACCCTTCCATCAAGAATTGCCACATCCAACCCTTCTCAGCCATCATTGACAATCATATTATTTCTAAGTTTAAACCACTGAACTTAGAAAGAAACGCTGTGGAAAACTGTAAAACCAACCGCATGACATTCATAAAGGAGAGGAATTCTGTTTAGTGGTCATATGGATAATTGCTTCCACACCATAATTCTGTACATATTAAATATCTGTTAGGACTAATGTTGTCCGAGGGCAAATGTTTTTTTTTTTTCTTGCACTTCTTCCAAAGTCCTTGCCGATGCACAATAGCGAAGCAAAGACGGACTTTTAGGTGACCCTGTACTTGATTTAACTTACCTTGTGATATATTTATCTTCTTTCCATGACCCACAAGACAGGCTCTTATTCCTAACAATGCTCTTCTCCTCCATGTGGTACACTGCGTTGGTTGAGTGACCTTTAACGTATAACGAGAAACTAATAAGGTGCCTTCCCTACAAATACTACGATAGTGACAACGTATATATAAATTGACACAAATTGACACAAATGAAAAAAAAGTTTTTGTGCCTTTCAACCAGGATGGTTAAAATATATTAAATATGTATTCATTTAATATGTAATAATATTTTAATATTTATTAATATATTTATTTGTTTATTATAAAGAGTTTTTTAAGGATGAAATCATTTGCAGTATTTAATGGAAATTAATGCAGCTTGCATATATATACTCTAAATGTGTGCATATACTGTACATACAGTATATAAATATAGATATATACACATATGTGTATATATATTTATATATATATTTACATAAATAGATGTATACACAGTATATATATAAGTGTATAGGGATTAATATTCTTTAAAGTAAAACCGCAAAAAAAACTAGCTACTCAACTTGTCTGAGGTTTTGAGGAAAGGGAAGTTCCCTGTGGTACTCCCTTAAAAAAAACCCATGTTCTCAGTGTTTCTGTTCCTGCTGTTTGATGAGCAGAAATAAACCAGGACACAATCTCTCAAATAGCAAAGAGTTACCACAGTCACTGACTATGACAGGCTGAGATGAGCTTACTGTCACCATGTGATTTGACAGCCTGCGAATCCAGATGGGAGATGGTGGAGTTTGTGACTGACAGTCAGGAGGCACAAATGTAGGTTTTATATATGAGCGGGGTTCTTATGTTTCACTGAGGAGGAACAGTGACCCCCGTCTCCCCCCGCCCATTCCCCCATAACTGGAAGGGTGTCAGAAAATCCATTGCAAACAACTTTTAAGAGACAGAAACATTTGTAAACAAAATGTTCACCCTACAGTTCCAGCGACAGGAGAATGTTGGTTTACCTTCTGATGATTGAGAGACAGGTTTGGTATTAAACACAAGACTGGTAGTTTTTTTTCGCAACTTTTTTTTTTGTCTGTGTTAGTACTTAGTTTGTTTGTTACGATTTGATTTTTTTTTTTGTCTGTGTTAGTACTTACTTTGTTTGCCCTTCCTGTTACGATTTGGTGTTGGGGAAGAGATACAAACCCAGGACTTTCGTTTGAAACATGAGAATCCAACCGTTTCACCGATTGGTCAGATGCCGAGCTTTAGCAACAAAGTTTCCCGTTGTCTGCTTCAGTACATGGAATATGTTTGAGTGACAGTAAGAATCCCGTTGTCTGCTTCAGTACATGGAATGTTTGAGTGACAGTAAGAGGCTAACTGTCTTGCAAAACATTTAGAATTCTATCTGCTTTAATGGGAACAGAATGTGTTCGTTGATGCACCAGTTGTTGGTCGATGCTCATACGTTACGCTGATGATGTTAAACTTTCTGTTCACCTTGTGTTGTGTTTGTGTAAAATGCGTCAAATAGGCAATGAAAAAAAAAAGATTTATTATTAAACCGTTGATGAGTTCATCAAATGCAAACAGCTCCAATTATTTCAGGTAACTCTGGCGTCTCAACCTTTTGGTGCACGTTTTTTATTCAATAAAACAAATGGATGTGAATTTTCTCTGTTCAGCTCCTAAAGCCGAACAGACGTAGAAGTACAAAAACAGAGAAAAAAAAAAGCGAAAAACCTTTGCCATTAATAAGAGTTAACCCCCGCCGCTTCAGTGCTGCTTTATTAAATGACACCTTCCATGAAAAGCACCAGTTCAACACTGCAAAAGCGAAATAATAACCATGATTGAAAAGAGTTCCGGAGCGCTCGAAGGGTCTGCGTCACCCTCCCACTCACGTGTTTTACCATCGGCCATGAACTCCGCTGATCACCTGGGAAAAGAAGGTCCTGTTATCACAAACATGACACTCCTGAAAAATAAGAAGAAAGAAAGAAAATCTCAAAAGACCTGGAACGCCCTCGAACATCAAGACTACTGAAATTCCCCCAGGGGGCGTTTTTTTTGTAATGTATTTAATTTATTCTTAAAATATTCCATGATATAAAATGTATGTAAATGCCTCTAATAATTCTGCAATGCCTCTCTGCTGTCGCTCTCTCTCCCCATTTCTGTATCTCTCTCTCTGTTTCTCTCTCTCTCTCGCTCTCTCTCTCTCTCTCTCTCTTCGTTCGTTGTCTTCCACGCCATGGGAGAGAGGCGGAGTTTGTGCAAAACAAACACAAGCACAAAAATAAATTAAGAGATCAAAACCCATAGAGAGGAAATGAGTCAGTATTCCACACCGTGTACAATACAATATCATAGCAAATTAGCAGATTTCAATGGCTTCCACTGACTACCATAGATTTACAATGTTCTCTTGGCTGCGGATCAGTCCTCCATAAATTGTGTCATTTTTCTTTTCTTCTTTTCTTTTTTTTTTTCCTTTCTCCTTGAATGGTTCTGATAGACAGTGACTTGTCGATGACCATGAAAAGAAAGCACCTACTGAGGTGTGAACAGAAAACCTGGGACTACGAGCCAGCAGTAATGAGAACAACAGCGTTTGTTCACATCCTACTAAACTGCCGTTGTGACCACGTTTTTTAAGTCCGATAAGCTTCTCTACAAAGGTACAACATATAAAACTGTTAAATATATAACTTTTTAGGGCCTCTCAAAATACATTTAATGACATTTCTCCACTCCCCCTCAGACTCCACAGCTTTCATCCTCTCCGTATATAGTCATCATTTCTCTGTTATGATTTCTCTCTCGCTCTTCGTGACCGACATGATAACTCTCTTCGCCAGATGTCCCAACAATGTCTACTGAAAAATGCATTTATTTTTTTTCTTCTGATACACAGTTATACGTATGTGGTACCTATATCTCCAGTTTCAAAATACAGTGGTGGGCTTAGTCTGAGAAAAAAATGTCCAGAAGGTTTCAAAAACACTTCTTTTGATTCTGCACGGTGCGTGTCCTCCTCTACACCTCCGGTGTGCCTGCAGGGGCAGTCATTGGTCGGCGGTGACACGAGCAGTGAGTTCAGAAAGTCTCAGCGTGCCTTTGCCAGATGGTCCACTCTGTCATAATGATCGCATTTGTTGTTTTGCTCTTTGGTCTATAAAAATATGAGAGGTTTACTCCAGCAGAAGGCCTATTCACAGCAGAGTGCTCAGTTTGGTTATTTACGGCCTCATGAGTCGGTCTGACAAAGCAACAGGGTCCAGCCGGCGATGATCCCGTCAGTGCTCCGGAAATCCTGCTGGAAACAGGATAAAAGCTCCAACAGACAAACTCCAATGGGGCATAAAAAACCATTCACGGCGGGGTTTTTTTCAACGGCGTCCAATCCTCCGTGGCGTGAGCGGGCGCTGCTAATTTCACAGAGCAGGCAGATAAGAGTGGCTAGGAGGTGGATGCAACGTGTTGACCCGACGACAGATAGCAGGAGGGGGGCAGTCACAAACCCGGAGCAGCCAGTCACAGACAGTAGGAGCTGTTTCAGAGTGTATAGTTTGTCCAGTGTCCAGGAGAGGGCGCTCACGCTCTCAAACAGTCACTGCTTGGATTTCCTGCCTCTGGTCATTTTATGAGACCTGTGAAAGAACGAGAGCAGAAATGAATGTCACCGCAACGTGGTTGTTGGGTCAGTAGAGAAAAACAGGATAAAAAGAGATGTTAGATGAATTCTGGATGTTAATGCTAACAGGAATAGTCTCACAAACTGACTTTTTCTTGTTGGCAAAATGGACCATAAGGCAATGGACAATCTTGTGTCCAAACTCTCGAGACAACTGTAGCAATGTAACAATATACACACACACACATATATATATATATATTTTTTTTTTTTTCAGTTCTGTAGTAATAGTTTGTATTTTATTGTGGCTTTGTTCCTATGCTACACCAAAACCAGTGGTGCGAGGACCAAGGTTCAGGTGCAGGGTGACAAAGACGAGGTGCTTTTGTCCTTACTCCATGTTGGTGACTCATCAAATCTAATTTTTACTCTAATGATGCTGCACATTGGAAAAGCTGTTTATGGTGGTAGTCTCAGAATAGGTTTTTCTGGCTGTAGTCTAAATCCTTCTTGACCTTGACCTCTTCATAGTAGTTGGTCTTCAATGATACACTCTCTATATATGAGAAATGACTTTCTATTTTAATGGAATGTTTAAAGGAGTTTTTTATTAAACACTTTATATACTGTACGTTCTGCTACAACATACTTCACATCAATGTACTCTAACAGCTGTCATAGTACACAAAAGCGAGTACGCGGTGGTGTCATGTCATCAAACTGTTCAAAGCCTTTCTGTAATTCAGCACACACTCCTCAGTACTGCGCCTGTTCTTAAGTGTTGTCAAACATGTTAGCCGTAACAGCGGGTGAGAAGCAGAAACAAATTGAGTCTCACGGTGCAGACGCCGAAAAACCATTTATCTTAGAGCAGAAAGACACATATCTGGAAGCTTCTTTACCATCTGGCTCCACCAGTCACACAGCCAACTTGACAGAGGCTGCGGTGCCTTCCAAGATTGCCGCATTCATTTATAGTAATGAAGTCTTAATGATTTCACAGGGTGCAAAGTGGCATCACAGGGGCAGGTGTTGTATGGAACACTAGCATGTTTCACGTCTGAGGCTGTGGGAATAATAAAAGTCTCTGTGAATCTGCTGTTAAGTCGACGGATTGTCAAGGTTCTGCTGAGAGTGGGCATGAAATGAGCTGCGGGTGAAGGTGTTTATTCAAACTGTAAGCACTTCCAATTGGTCATTGCCTCTTAGTGGCCACAGACACAATACAGTGTCTGGGAATGTTCGTGTCCCCAACTCTATTTGCAGCTATCATTTTCCAACTTTGGCGAAAACTCTCCCATAAACCTCAAACATACCAAACCTAACCTGATGGAAATGCTACGAAAACTCTCCCATAAACCTCAAACATAAACCTAACCTGATGGAAATGATGGAAATGCTAGGCTTCTATTAAACCACTGGTTGAATTTACAGGCCCTGGGTGATGATTACCACAGGTTTACGACCTTATTAAGTGTCTTATAATTTTTATTTTTCAGGTTCTGTTGCTAGAGAGATGAAAATAGAATGTTGTCTGGCTACTTTTATTTTGGTTCTTCAAACAAAACAATTAAAGATTAAAGGTTGAATCAATGAAAATGTATAGAACCCATCTACAGTAAGTCTGCAACGTGTGGCTCGCGGACCACATGCAGCCCATTGGTCTTTTGTAATGCAACAAATTTAGCCTGACTAAAAATATAAAAACTATAATATAATGGAAGGGGGTAGATTTTTTTTTTTTTTTTAGTTGTGCAATTTGCGCATCTACACATTTTAAGCTTGCTTGCTAACAGCCAAACAACATAGTAGCACTGTCCTCAAGATTGGCCATGCAGTTTCTTAGGGTAGAGCAAAGCATATCAAATACTGAATCTGATCTTGTATTTTCTGGTACAACAAAGTAAAGAATGATAAACTTTTATTAACTGTCTCTTGGTACTTGGTTTATAAGTCTGTAGTACTACTACAGTACTTAATACTTACTTACACCGCACTCCTGCGTTCATGTTATTGTTATTTTTGCTGCTCTCAGTGAATTTGATCAGTACATATCAGTACTGTATGTACCAACAGCAGCCAATCAGAGACCACTTTACTATTGGAGTTTAAGTGTGTTATAAATATAGAAACCTCATCTCTGGACAAAGATAAAAACGTGTCCAATGTGGAAGTGTGAAAACGCCTGTGCATTTATGCTACACGTAGGTGTGCAGTGGAGTGACGCCTGGTGCAGCCACATCTGTTGAAGCTGAGGAAAACTGTATTTACAATACATGTGGAGGCGCTCTCCAGCTGGGAGTTGGTGAATTGCAAACAAACGCTCCCAAGCATATGGCTCACGCTTGCCATTACTGTGTGAACTCTGGCTGACTCCTATCAAAACGTCAGCGTGGACACGGTGCCTTAGTGAATATGTGAATGGGAAAACATGGAATGAAAAAAGAAAAAGAAATTGATTTTTTTTTTTTTTTTTTTGCTACAACAAACTCTTTATCCAGTCACATAGATCAAATGCAAAATTCTCAGGTGTACGCAGTTGATTAAAGAGGCAGCGGACAAGTTTGGTGTCCCTAGTGGATGCAGGTGTTATTATATTTGGCCACTGTAGCAAAGATGCAGCAGAACATCCTGATGAGGAAACAGGAAGGATTCCTCCAAGGCAGTGTTGTTTCACTGTATGATATGTATCTGAAATATAACTGATTTAGCTGCGTAAATGGATTATTGATTATTACGACATAACAAACATGCTAACTTTGGAAATACGAGAGAAAAAATGAATAGAAATAAAGGGAAAACGTGAGTGTTGACGTGAGTTCCAGTACAGATGATATCAACGGCAATTATCATATGCCCTCGTTAATAAACGTCTGACCTGTTTGATCAACGCTACACAATGGGGGCGCTCTATAGTCCTACTGTTGCCAAGAGACATGAGTGAAACATCGTATGAGGCCAGCATATCATTACCAGTACAGTGCAACATGAATTATTTTGTAGTATATTCACTTTGGAGTCAAATTCTACCATGTACAACTAGAAGGAACTCAAGTACCACCAGTGGTATGCATACCCTAGTTTGAACCACTCATTTCAGTTAAAAGAAAAATCTCAATCATCATTTTCTGAAGGTGAATTTAACATTTGGTAAAAATAACCTTTTACATTCTACAAATGGTGTTTTTACCTGGTACATGTTGCATTGTATTTGTCATAATACTCTGGGCCTGATGTAAGTTGAAAAGACGTTTGTTAGGTAAGAATTGAATGAGATTAAATATTCTTTCAATAACATCTATGGGTATAAATGGCTTTAAGGAAAAGTCATACATTTTCTCGAAAAAGAAATATAAAAACAGCTTGTGTCAAACCATCCACTGTTTTTTTTTTTTTTTTTTCTTCAAATAGATTTCACTGAAATGCACCAGTCTGCCTGGCTGACCATTGAGGCAGAGAGGAAATCTGTCAAATTGCTGTCATAAACAGAATGTTTTCTGTTTGACGTGCACGGCTCAAGTCAAAACAGACAGTAATAGGCTGCTTATAATAATGATATGCTTCCAAAAAAAGAAACCAAAAATGAAAACAGGAGACGATAACGCGTTCGCCGAACTCTGGCAAAGCATTGGTAGAAGATTAAGCTGCTGTCCTTCCAACTGCCTCCCATAAAGATAATACTGTAGTAACAGCAAGCCTTATGGGGTAGCAACAAAATCCAATCCGCGCAGTTAGTTCTCCTCGCAATTAGTGCAATTATTTCTAACATCAGTCACAACTTAATGACAGGTTTAAACCAAAATGTTTTCCATTTCAGATTGAATCAGTGTGTAATTGGATGATTTCTGGAATCTGACTCATCTGTGACTTAAGTCAAGGTGCAGCCACAACATCAGCTGATCGACTTCAGCTGCTGTCGCTCCGATGTGGCCCTGCTTTTCTCCGTCACGTCGCCCGACTTGTTGCTGCCAGCGCTGTTTAATGTTCAGTATTGGGCAAATGGGCAAATCCTTTAGGATCGAAGTACCATGCCGAGACAAAAGGCTGTCGTGTGAATATTCATAAGTGGACTTGTGGGTTAGAAATGAAAATCCACAGGTTAATAAAGCGGAGGGAAATCAGCCATTACAGTCTGTGAAGTTGGAAAACGCCTGGAGCAGATACTAGGATCAAAATAAATGAACACATTAACAAAGGCCTCCAGACACTGGGCCCCGGTCTACATTAGGAAGAAGTTCAAAGCCATCACGAGTGTTGTCATTTTCAATGTGTTCACATTACATTTCATCAGGACATCAAAGCGCTCAGCAGCACCAGAACCCTTAATGCTTGAGGGGAGAAATAATAGAACACATCTAACCACAGCATAATGACAGAAGAATGATGAACATCACTCAGTGTGTGTTTGATGCAACCACGCTAACGCCTGAAAATGCTACCTTTAATACGCAAATGTCTATGTAATGTCTACAAACAAAAAATGACTCTGATGTTGGTCATTCTGTATTTGGAACAAAAATGAAACAAAACAAACAAACCTGTTTAATCCCTATTGATCTTTTTGTTTCTTTTTTTTGTTTTGTTTCCCTCAGTACGTGGAGGGGTGTCTCCGACACTACAAACAGGCAGGATTGGGTTATTTGGATATTTTTAATTAGTCTTTCCCAACATTGCTTTGAGCTATGATAAAATGAATAAACACTAAATATATAACCAATAATAAGATCTTCTAGTTTTAGTTCACTTAGAACTTCCTCACCAATTGTTAAACCTGACCCTGTTTAGTTGAACACGGAACTTCCTCACCAATTGTTAAACCTGAGCCTATTTAGTTGAACATTTGTATACTGGCAGGAATTCAAGAAAGACTACATATATTCAACAGCCCCAGGTCTCTCTCTTTTTTTGTTTAGTTTTAGTTTTAATAGCTTTCTGCCACCTCCTAGTGGAAATGTAAATAATTGTTCTGCCTGTCACTGTCGCATAGATGAACACAGACAATTTACAATAATAATTTTCAGACCAATTAGATGAAATTGGATCATTTCCCACAGTACACCTGGCCCACTATGAGAGACAAAGAATCAACAGAGATTACGGTCCTCTCTGGACGCTGGTAGCTTGCTTTTTATAGCCACGTGTTTAGTATTCTCCGCAGTAATGCACTGGAACAGTATCTGTAGCTTGTTTGCTTGTTTTTTTTATGACACTAAAGACATGGTGTCTGGACTGAAAAGCAGCAGAAAGCTGTTTTTCTTTTTTTTTTGTTTTCCCCCCAGAATAAATCACAGCAGAGCCGTTGAATGCTAACAATATTGACCAGCAGAAGGGGCTGGTTTTCAGAAACTCAGTGGGACGATGAGACCAGGCATTTTTATGACCATGGCCTCATCCCTTTTATTGAGCTGTACGCCAAATTTACTACCTGGCCCTTCTCTATTTCCCAATCACATGCATTAATATCAGCCTCTGTCTGGCGCCTTTTTTTTCTTTTATGAAGGCGGACAGACTCCATCCCCCGCAATACTTTAAAGACCATTTTAAGACATGCCAATACAGCCGAGCCAAACAAGCTGCAAATAAAGCTGATGGGTTTGACTAATATTACTGCACACATGGACTCTATGTGGTTAAAGACACGCAAGGGAATCTGTGGGCTTATGGGGAAATTGATCATGCTTAAAAAAAGACCTCAAGCTAGCAGACAGTTGTTTAAATTGTTTTTAAATTTATGTGTTTGTGTTTGCAATTGTGTCCGTGCTGCCTGATATTTTCCAATCTCGGTGACTAGACATACCATTGGTTGTTATGGATGAATCCTAAAACTATTAGCATTTGACAGCTTATTTTCAGACACTTAGACATTGACAACAGAGAAGGCATTTTTTTTTATTTATTGTTTAACCATAAAATAATCCACAACATATTGAGAACCTGAGCGTGAGAGCTCCCTGTAGCTGTACCTTGCTGCTGGTGCTCTTGTGTTGCTTCCTGCCTGAATGGGACCAAAGTTTTGGGTGGAGTTGTTGTGATGTTGGTGTTGGTGGTGATGATGGTGTTGGTAGGTGGTGTTTGGCTGCCTGTCAAAGGGTCATCAATGCTCTCCATAGTGCAAGAGTGTCGAGGGGGACTCTTGTCACGTCATAGTGCCTGAGAGGAGAGAGGTGGTGGAGAATGGGGGGGGGGGGGGAAGGAGAGGGAGACGAGAGGAGGTGGGCATCATTATTATGCTCAAAACCTGGACCTTTTTTTTCTGTTGTTGTTGTTGTTGTTGTTGTTGATGCCTCGTTTCCGATCTTTCTTGGAAATGTGAAACCCAATTTTTTTTACCAAACTGAAACAATGTGCTGACTTGGCCACAGAGCTACAGTGTCTCTCTCCACCTTTATCCTGGTCTGTCTTTGTGCCGTCTCCTTAGTGGTGATTCTGTTCAACCTACTGTTAGATGTACCTGGGCGCCCAGTGGGATCAATTACCAAGGCTGGTACCAAACCAGAACCATAGGGGGTGTGAGGGGGGGTGTGACGGTTGTGATGGTGGTGTTGGGGGTCCCATCAGACCCAGGCTGAGCCGACTCCTCTGAGAGAGGCAGAGAATACGTGAGGAGGAAGGAAAGAATAGTGTGGACACTAAGGCAGGCCCTCGGCTCTTGCTTACAAACCCCTCGTCAAAAGCGTTTTTTCATAGTTGGCTGAACACATGCTGTCACTGGCAAATGTATAAAAGGCGTAAATACTCCTGAAGCTTCCAGGAACATGCTGACTGACTGGCTTGGGGATTGGTTTTTGTCTAAACTGCAGTCTCTAGAAGGTTCGTGTGAGGATAGAAATACAAATACAAATGTACAGTATAACAGACAAATACTACAGTATCATGAAGGACTGGTAGAACTGAATGGAATTACTAATGTTTGTATGATATTAGAGCTGTTGAGTAATCACAGTGTCGTTGTCGATTTATGATTAATCATAATGATTCATAGTTGATCATGACGATCAGTTCTCTTATTACTTGGACGAACTTAGGTTAAGCTGAATCTGTTATTTTGAAACACATTATTTTGCCTTTTATTAATCATAAAAATTACCACGTTAAAAATCCCGGCCTGCGATTTTGACAATATCCTTTCAAAGACACACAAAAAAAACCTCTCAAAATTTCTCCCTAAATTATTCTTTTTCTTCCTTCTCTTCTTCTCCCCGTCTCCTAATCTAATATGATCTCTTCAGTGAAAAAGTCCTGATTACAGTAATCAGCCTTTCTCTCCGTAGGTGCCTCTTCTGCTCAAAGCACTACTTTCACAGCCTAAATACACCAATCAACTTCTTCCTCCTACAACATATGATTAAGTCCTTCAAGAATGAGATATTTGAGGAGTTCACTTGGTTCTTTGGTGCAATTTGAAAATGTTTACATGCAAATTATGGTGCAGAGAATTGTTACAAGTGATTGTTGAGAGGGAGATCCTTTTGGTTTGGACACCAGGATGACAATTGTTTGAAAGAACTCATGAATCATATCGTATCGTGAGTTGAGTGCAGTGTTACATCCCTACTTGAAAGAACTCATGAATCATATCGTATCATGAGTTGAGTGCATCGTTACATCACTACCTTCGGTGTAGCCGGACTGACGGCTGTTCAAACAGGGAAAGAAAAAAAAACAACCTAACGAGCAGCCGGTGTCTGAGATTTACTTCATGTTTTACAATGCTCTCGCTGCGACTGGATTGAAATTTCTCCCTCTGTCTTTTTTACTCGCTGTGCTCGTCTCATCTCTCACACTGCTTTTCAGTCTCTGTTTTGAATTGTACGTCTTATCAGGCTGTCACAAAAGCCGTGAGATAACCTGAGGTATTTTCATTTCTCCCCCTTTCACGGCATACTCGCTCTGCCTCTTCCTCTCCTTCTTCGCCGAGCTCCCCGTTGTTGCCGCATGCAGAGAAAAATAGCTCCTTGCACCGTTTCATCTGCCAGTCTAAAATGGTGGAGGGCAGAACGCAGCCCATCCTCCCCTCAGAGGAGAGACAGCAGTGAGCCTTTCACCGAGAGCAGGAGGGATGGGAGAGGACTGCAGAGACTGCATATCACTTTACCAGAAGAGAGTGCTTTTGAAAGGCAGCACTTGACTGGGATGAAATGTATATTCATATCATTTAGCATCACAGCCCAAGACAAGTTTCCCTGGAGCGGGTAGATTAACTCTGATAGGCTGTAAAATATTTCTTTTTCATGGAGAAGCTTTGTTTCCTGCTGTCTAGGAGGTGATTAAAATCCCTCTGCAATTTTCTCAAATATTCACCTACAGTACTGATGTAGTACAATACGAGATAACTAAAACCCCCGGGATAGCATCATATGGTTGATGTTAGCATTTTTTTTCTAATATTCAGCTACAGTATTAACATACAGTAATGCTGCACAGTGTGAGACGACTGAATAAGTAAGAGGAAAATAATCCAGGAATGCATCATGCGGCTAACATAATTCATATTTTGTCTTTATAACCAGGGCATTGAAAATAAAGACGCAGCTTGATCAGTTCACCCATTTCTGTGAAACTGACACCATGCTGTAGGTGGCACTAATGCACCTAAGACTGTTTTGCCAGGCAAAAGAAGAGCAAAATGCAATAAGCGCTGTGAGCAACATGCATGGAGCTAATGTTAGCTACAACAGAGCTAATGTTAGCTACAGCCATGCATGGAGCTAATGTTAGCTACAACGGAGCTATTGTTAGCTACAACAGAGCTACAGTTAGCTACAACAGTCCTGGTAGAGAGAACTGTTGTTAGCTACAACAGTCCTGGTGCAGAGAACTGTTAGCCAGTCAGCCTACAGCAGACCAGAGGACGAGGGTCAATAGCTGTAATTGAACTGTGTTCACACTTTTTCTCTGTGAATGTTATTGAACCGATGAAAAAAAGGCCAGATAATAATAAATTAAAAATGTTTATTGATTTAGTTGTCGAGGAAGAAATAATCTGAACCGAGCGACCTGGCTCATTGTGTCCAATATTGATATTGCAATCAAGTGATTAAAAAGTCTATAATAATTTGATTATTTTACTACATACCAGCAATAATTATATTTTCAGAAAAAAACATACAGAAAAAAAAAAAGGAGAAACGGTCTAATGGACTGGAAGATTCTAGTCTTGTGTTGGGATTTTGGGAGTAAATCCGCTTGCGTCTATATATATATATATATATATATATTATTGTTTTTATTTTATTTCAATTTCCAGACAGGCAGAATTCTGCAGTATGTGGAGAGTATCTTCGTCAGGGCTGCAGCAGTTGTAGACATACACCACCACTGTGCTCCTGTTGGTGTGTTTGTTAGCGTACACTACATGTGTAAATGTCAGCCGCTCGTTGGCTTGTGGGTAAAAAGCCGGTTAAGGTCAGACGCTCCTGTTTGCCTTCCAGATGGCAGGAATGTGAGAAGTTAAAAGCCGGGTTCAGACAGGACCTGCTGTGGCCCCAGCTCACAACACTGCCCCCTGTGCAAAGGTCCTGGAAGTGTTAGTGAGTTCAGGCCTTATAGAAGTGGCATTATAATGACAAAGGAGCTAAATGTTGATTGGTTATTTGTTGTTCAGGTCACGTTAATGTTCACTTCATGTTCTCCTTACATTGAACTGCTGTGTTCCAGTCTCTCTGTCCGTCTCTGTTGTCGACGTCTGTCAAGTTTATTTAAAACTCTTTATTGAGGTCTTACTTCATCTTTATAACTTGAACGTTGAGGTGCAGAGACACATCGTGTTCAGGTTGACCTCTCTTGTACATTATTGTTTTGCTGCCTCGTTGTGAGCCGCGTTTATTCCGTTTAGCTGCGGCCTCATTGTACAGAAGTTAAAAATAACCTCATCACTGTCAAGTCCAGTAATGCACGAATCAATCTTCATGTTTGTCTTTTACTGGAGTCTATATTTATTTTTATTGATGGGAAAAACATGTAGTGGATGACCAAGGGTCAGAGTAAGGGATGGACAGGGAGGAGGAGCAGGAGCAGGAGGAGACAAAGTATAAATGTAGGGAGTTGATGTTTTTAAGGAATATAAAGATGGAGAATGACAACGTTATTCTGTAGTTTACTGACAATGTTTTCTCAAGAAAAACAAATCGTTATTCTTGTAACATTATGAAGAAATCAAGATTATGCATGTAAGTGAAATAACAGGACATTATTATTATTACTATTATAATTATTATTATTATGACAAATGTGTGAAGGCAAGATAAGATAAAATTACATAATTAATTAGGTAATTAAGAGATAATTATTTACAGTATTACCTTGACATTACAATGAAGTTTTTATTCTAATAACTGCAACTTTTTGTTACTAATTATTTTTATTTTTTATCAGCACAACAGCAGTAGGGGTTAAATTCCGTATTGAGGGCGAGTTACATCAGAAAGAGTGGAAAAACCTGTAAGTCAGTATGGGACAAAATCCGTCACGCCAAGCTGATAGTTTTGTCTCTATAACCTCATAAATGTGTTCAATTTTCTACATAATTATTTATGTCTGATGTTGATTCTTGATCCAAACCACATGATTTGGATGCAACAAATCGACCGCAGAGTAATTCTACACTGAGCTAAAAAGTAGTCCTGTGTATATTCTGTATATCCTTGGTGCCTACGTGATACTGACGTGTGTGCATTTACTCTGTGAGGTCACCTCAGACAGTCGTAGACGTACGCTCTGTCACAGGGACCTGAGCCTGGCTCTGTGGACACACAGATGCTGAAAGTTTAACTTGGTCCTAAAGGTAGAGAATAGGTCAGTGGTGTCACGCAGCGTTAGCATCGTCTCCGTGTCTCAGAAAACAAACGAACGCTCTCAAACATCAGGGCAACTTTATGCAAACCACCTCCTGAAACCGCTCCAAAACTGCCCCCCTTCTGTGGCTTTTGGACTGAGTGGGATTGACTTGGCTTAGTCAAATGCCCTGCGGGGAGTTGTATGTTTGTCTGCACTGATGCATCTGCAGAGTCACCTGACAGACAGGTCGGACATGCTCACTGGACCGTGCTCTGCCAACAGTTATCCCTGAGCGGTACTGTATGAAGGTGGCAGCAGTTTGGGTTTAACCTTGAAATGCCTTAGGGAAAAGGGCCATTTGTTCAGAGTCACCCGGAGGGAGGAGGAGGAGGAGAAGGAGGAGGAGGAGGAGTAAATTGTTTGTTTGTTTTTGCCTATGCTTCTCCCTTGGGTCTTTAGATAACGAGAGGCTCATGTAATGTCTAAATTTAGCCGCTCAGTTTTTACCTTTAAAGCATTTTCGTCATTTTTAGGCTGCATTTCAGTTTTTTGTTTTGTTTTTTTATGCCCAAGTGTCTTTATTTCCCTTTATGTGAGACGAAATTCAGACAGAGAAGTCTGGCTTTGGTGCATGACTGGAATTTTGGAGGATTTGTAACGTTGACCTCAGTCGGCTGGTTGTCAATTATATATTTATGTTTATATTTATGACACGGTGAGCTGCCTAAAGACACAGATTCCTGTGCAGTTAATTAATTTTCAATCACTTTCTATTTGTCATATATCTGCCCGTTCCATGTGCAGCTACAATGTCGGTCCGTCTATCATTTTTATCCTCTCTCTGCCTCGGCATCTTTTCCTCTAATTTTTATCTTTAGATTAAATTGGATTAGACAGAACTATCTTAATCCCTCTGGAGTTCCAATTGGGTTTTTTAAAATTTTCTGGTAGCTTTTCCTTGGTCCAGCTCTATGTCCGATGTGAAGCAGTTTCTGTCTCTGTATTTTTTATGGATATTCTTGTTTTTCTGAACTGTTCAGTGTCATCTGCATAGAGTGTGTTATTGATTTTATCGCCTCCTCTGGATGTTACTGGTATGATGTTTTCACTGCACAAGGAAAACATCTTTCTCTTTCCTCTCGCTGCTGCACTTTGTTGCCAGTAGGGGTACCAAATACCACGAGTTAGACATAAATGCAGTTCACACCTGTACTCTAACCCTAACCCTACAGTAGAGACTGATAAACGAGGTTCTGACTCATCATCATGACCTGGTTCTGGTCTCCATTAGGACTACAGGACCAGTGAGGGGGAAAAAAAAAATCGCAGTAACAAATACACACAATCGTACAGATGAGTGCATGGCCGTCCATCCGTTTGACGTTCTGTCTCTGAGCCTATGGTGGCCAATGATGAGGCGAGAAATACCTGTCACGTCTGGCATATGTTCAGCCTGAGCAGACTGGTCTCCACAGACGGCCACAGAGCTACATGTTAGCCTGAGGTAGTACACACGGTACTGTGTATTAATATGCAAGGATTTTTGGAGACACACTCCATCAGGAGCGTGGTAAAAATGTACAGTTACTCACATTAGATCTATTAGCTTTACCACCCCCATCACCCCTCCCCCCCCTTCACCCGCCATCTGTCAAATATAATAAATGGATCCAGGTTAGGCTACATTTCTGCGTTTGTGTGTGTGCGTGGCTACGTGCTTGCCAAGATAACAAATGACACTGTAGGCATACCATGTAACAGCTGTCACCCCCGACACCCCCGTCACCCCCGTCACCACGACCAGGTATATTTAAGGTGGCATCAGGACGCTGACAGACCACGTCAACCACGACGCAGCAGCCGAATGATGACAAATCACGTCGTACGCCTCATGCGTTCAGCACGTGCATCCAGTATTTATGTGTGTTTGTCTTTCAGCGGCGCAGCGTAAACAACAGAGTCAGTTGATGACTAAATCATGACAGATGCATTAATGATGCTCCCTGGATCCTCGGAGCTCAGCCTTTGACATTTGAAGAGAGGCCAGCTGTGTTGTGTGTGTAGGTTTTGTATTTTTTTTTTTTTTTTTAATAACTCAGACCTCTTTAATTGCTCCACTATGGCAATAATGTTTCCTGTGAAGTAGCCGCTGGGCAGAGTTGTAGGAGGTTGTTAGGAAGGACGTGGAAACGTGTGAGTGCGTTTTGGAGTTGTGTGCAGAACGGGGGTGAGGGGGAGGAAGAGGAAGCTCCAAGGCCCTGAAGATAAGGTATGGAGGACGAGTGGGTGAATGAATTGGCAGCGTCTTCTCCAGTACGAACGTCGGCTCCCCATCTGCTGCCATCATTAACATTAAGAGCTTCTCTAATTTAAGCTAATTGCCGCCGACGAGGAAGTAAACAAAGCGCGTACAGTTTGTAAAGATGAGCTGACGACAACAGTAGTGGGAGGCGAGGGGGGGGGGGGGTATCCGGGGAACTGTTAAGTGAATGCCTACCACGGGACTGTTTGGAGGCGGGCCCAGGGTACTGTTGTATGGCAGTGGTTGGAACTGTTGCTGAATTATCTTTCCATGTGCGGCGATTTATTGACTTTTTAAAAACAATTTAATTGTAGCAAAACTGTTATCGTAAACACACAACATCATGTTACTAACATTGGAACAGAGGGATCTACGTTTGTGTTAACTAGAGCAGAAACGAAGGAAAACGATAGTATTTTTAGATAAACAAATAAACAAAAAAAATTAGGTTTTCATTAGGTTTAAATACAACATAAAAATTAACCAAGGCCATGAATATTTGCATGTAAATTGTTATTAAAAGAAAACTTGATACAGTGCTGTAGAACACTGATACAGTATCTGGAAACAAAATATCACAGTATTTCAGTGTATTGATATTTTCTTACACCTTTACATGGTCTCCAGATGTAAATCCATTTTACATATTGTCCTCTGATACGCAGATGCTCTGGATATCGAGGGATGCAGTTATTGTTAGTGTCAAAGGCGAGCCTGAACTCACCGTGGTGGTTTTGACTCGGCCTCCGGGCTGTGTACAGGTCCAACCAGATTTATTGACTAACAGGTCACAGCCCTCATCCTCCAAGCACGGCACCATCTCACACCACTGCTTTTTCCGAACAATGCCGGCTGCGAAGACACAAAGACGAAATCGTTAAAATGGTAAAATAAACAGAGAGAGGGATGATAGAGAGGTGGATGTAAAGACGTAAAAATGGAAAATGGAGAGAACAGGACAGGGAGTGACAGATGGGGAAAATGGAGAAAACAGATTCGGGCAAAGATATGACAGGGGAGAAATATAATGGAAATGAGGGAGAAGCTCTGGAAATATATGCAGGAATACATATGAAAAAGTGGCACCCATCTGCCAAAATACAGACGGGTGAATTGGAAGACAGATGAGATGGAGAGGCAGATGAAGAGCAACGAAGTAAAGAGATGTGAGGGAAGTGAAAGATACGAGAGCAAAGGTTGCGAGACGACGCTGCAAATCAGACAGACGCCCGGGTACGGAATAAGCTGTGACCAGTCGGGTTAACAGAATCAAATCAAATCAAATCAAATAAAAAAATTTGAGACAAGACATCTCAGACAGAATCCAACATTTGTAAAAATTCTAGCCACCAACGGGAGAAAAAAAAAATAGCTTCAGCAATCTGTGACTTTGCCGTACGACTCAATCTGTACTTTTTCAATCGCAAAACCTTGTCTCAATCTGTTCTGCCTTATTTGAGCTTCACACTTTAGTAAATACTTTTCAGAGACAAGCTTCAGTCTGTCATTAATAATCTTCACTGAGTCGAGTTTTTTTCAAGAAAAACCACAAGACAAACTCCACCAAAATAACTTCCCCAGTGATGTAAAAGTTTCTGCCACATTTCTTCCAAGAATAATAAGTCACTTTGCAGGAAGTCATGGACAGATATACAATAATATACAGACCGAAAACATTTTAAACAGTTTTAAACAAAAAAATAAGGAAATGCAGGAACTTCATGTCCTGACAGGAATCACCCAGAGTGCAGGAGAAGGACACACCAGCAGGAGGAGTCTGAGATTAAACCACTGACCTTCCAGATGCAAAAACAAAGTCCTGCCAAACCCACTGAGCCACATCTGTCTCTTAAACCTGACACTGCAGCAAGCATCCAGATGTCACAGATGTCAGTCGTTCTTGTAAAACACTGAATGTGAATATTAAAAAAAATATACTAATGAAAACTGGACCATAATCCAGTCCATAAACTGTAACATCGAGTGCAGTAAAACGGTTGACTCTGGGCCAAAACAGTTGTGCAGTGAAACACTGACTGTCGACCACATAAAAAACAAAACTGTTCATAATTTTAGTCCGTGAATATTTCACTGCCCGGGGAACGAGAGGTGGGGGCGGGGAGGGGGAGTCGGGGGAGTTCACGGTGGGAACTCTGTCTCGACCTTTAGAACCAACGCTTCGGACCAGTTCAACCGTGGTCCAAAACTACAACATTTGATGGTGATTATTTCCCTTAAACGCTTCACCGCCGTAAACTATACACAGTTGATGCTACTCGATCAATATCATTATTATTGATCTGATTTGGACCAGTGACCAGGTAGAACAGTGGTTGGGTCTCCTGCCTTATAGCTGTATTTCCAAATATATAAGTGATTGTTTTGCACCATTTAATGGAGATATGCAGCGATTGCAGGGGAAAGGCAGAGATATAATGATAATAATATGAATTAATAATATAATTTGGTCAAGTTTGGCGGGCCGGATTAAAAAAAAACCAAATGGGCCACATCCGGCCCCCGGGCCGTAGTTTTGCCCATGCCTGGTCAGTGAGCAGGTGTCGTTCTTTCTCACGTCGTCTTTACTCAAATGTTATGTTCGAATCAATCAGTACCAGAAGCCGAGCCAGAGTTTTGGGAGCCACGTGTCCAACTAATGAAAGCACAGCAAACACACTGTATCAGCAGAGTGTAAAGAGTGAGCAGGGACCTGACATCATTGTAAAGAATTATTATTGTTGTGCACGTTTTTGCTGACACCTTACATGACTTTGAATCGCCTGCTCTGCTCTGCTGCAAGACTTGCTGCAGAAAAAAAAGTCTGTTGTTCTATACAGCGTATGTGTGTGTGTGTGTGTGTGTGTGTAGAGCACTTTAGTTGAGGAACACAGGTAAATATATACAAAACATATTTCAACAGTAGAAATACAAAACGAAAAAAGTCAGAAACATATCTTTTCCAGTCTGAGCTCTAATATACTTGCAAGAATTTTTCAGATGTATTTTACACCAAGTCAAGGCCTTTTACTTTGTATGATCAAAGGCAGTGTTTCCCAACACTTTTGCAGTCAGAGTACTTGTAGTATTTTACGTTAGAAAAAAAAATCAAACCTAAACAGAAAAATGATATGCAAAAATGTAATCCTGTTTAGTTGAACACAGCACCGATGTACTCAGAGGAATTAAAGAAAGGCAAACATAGTTTTTTATATATATATACTCTATATAAAGATATATATATTTATTTATTTTCTAAATTCATTGCTGCCTAGTTGAAGAGTTTCTAATTGTTCTGTCTGTCATTATGGCGTAGATGCAAAATAAATATTATCTGCAATAAATACAAAAAAAAAATGTTTTCTGACAACAAATGAAGTGAAACTGGATCATTATCCAGGCTGATGATCTCTCATGGCTCACCCTTTATTTAAGAAACTTTGATTTTTTTTTTTTTTTTTTTTCATATATGAGGATTGATCAAAGCTGGTGCAGATTGAGAGACGTGTTTGAACATGATTTAGTCGTCGACATCAGAAACATTATTTATGTTAGCATCGTATTTAACTTAGCCGTGGACTCGTGATGAACTACAGTAAAAAAAAAAAATCTAATAACAAACACCTGCACTGATTCTGTGTATGATTTTGAAATGACTATAAAAATCTTGGACCACTCCTTGGTCTTCGTCTTCATCTTTGTCTTCGTCTTTGTCTTGGTCTTGGTCTTGGTCTTCGTCTTGGTCTTTGTCTTCGTCCCTACACTTGTTTATCAGGGATGTGCTCCACATACAGTCTACTGTACTCAAATGATTTGCGGCGCAGCAGCAGCGCTCTCATAATGTATGTTTACAATATTACGGCTATTTTCAGGAGAGAAAACAAAAAGTAATTTACAACACTGACAGCCTTGCTCACCGCCTGCTTCCGGAAACCAGTTAGACCTCGGCAGCTTTATAGATGCTGGAAGATGGATGGATTTTCCGGAATAGGTTTAGCTGCTTCCCTATATTTTCAGTTCCTTTTGTCAACTTTTGTTTTGTTTTTTTTCCTGGTTTTTAGATTCATATTTTTGTATAAATAGAGTCTTAAATTCCAAACCAGTCATCATCAACTTGTGGCCCGCAGACCAAATCTGGCCAGCCGAACCATTCGTTCTGGCCCACGACTAGATAAAAAAAAAAGAAATAATAAGAAGGCTTAGAAGGTCAACATTATAACGTTTTTTTTGTTTTTAAATCCGTGTGTTTAGAATTATGTTGCAGGTTTATTTACTTCACATGATTTCCCTTTTCTTCACGTTATTCCTTCTGATACGCAGAGCTTATGCTCAACTGTTAGCATGAAAGCTAATCGGTGCTTTTCACACTTTTTCAACTCTCCTGCAAACTGAGGCCTCAATATTTAACCCTGGCAGATGTTGTGTCTGTGTGTGAAGAAGTCAGAATCTGGACACTTTTAGGAGCAGAGTGAAAATTGGGAGCTAATGCACCAGAAAATCAAGTCACTGTCTACTGCGTTTCTATCAAGCCCATATTTCAAACTGCTTATTCTGACCTTTTTTTTTTTTTTTTTTTTTATGTCGGCAGTATTTCATTACATTGCAATAAAATTGGAGCCTGAGCATATGTCAGAAACCTGCGCTGGTAAAGAATCAAACATTTATGAATTTCCCTTTAGATATCAGCGGCGCTAACGTTAGCTCTCATTGGACGTTTGGACAAAAAAATCTCCAGTCTGAAAGTATGTACTGCAATCTCTGCTGCCATGATCCTGCAGTTATAAGACTGTTAACATACGCAAGGGCGATGATTTAAAATCTACACTTTCTTCAGGAGAAGATACAGTAGGGAGAGAGAGAAGGAGGGGGGGGGGTTATTACACTCTCAATGGAACACTTATCCTCCCACCAAATGGTAGCTCACACTCATGTCAGCAGCTAGCATCTTGGCCTAATAAATTCTCCTTAATGCCACGCCAAGCCTGACGTGGCAGGAGAAAGATGGGTGAGTGTGTGTGTGTGTGTGTGTGTGTGTGAAAGTAGACAACAAGAGAGACGTCAAATACACGGACCAGAAACCAGGGAAAAACACGGATCAGATCTGCCGTAATAGATGCAGTAAACTTCTCTCCCTCCGTGAGATGATGCAACGACAGGACGACGCGCCGCGATAATTACAAACTGCACAGATCAGACGTGGCCGCCGATGCCGATGAAAGATATATCAAATCTGCATAACGTATTAAGAATAAATTTAATTTACACATTCGTTCACAAGCGGCAGTTTTATCGTCAAATCTGGGCCGAACGCCTCCCCGCCGCCCCCGCCTCTCCCCTTGGCACCAACACAAATATATGACAACACAGAACGATAGGAATCTGTGATTATTAAGATCATTAGATGAAACTTCAGAGTCGGTAACACATTTAATTAAGGCTGTGACGGTTTATCATCTCATCACACGGAGACTAAAACAAAAGCCGGGGAGGAATCTCTCCCTTCACAGACTCTAGGGCCGGAAATGACGGTTTTATTTCATCGTACAAAAGTTTGTCGTCACTGTGTTCATGTTTAACTTTGTTGGGTTCTGATTGGTCAATCACCTTTTTTCTGTTTTTCAGTGAATCAACTGAAGTTCGCTGTAGAAGTCGACCGACACTGACAGTCTGAGCCGCCGTGGCTGTGGGACCTCAACGAATCTAGTCGAGAAGATGGTGAGTCGAAAAGTCTGATTTTAATGACTAACCCATGTTGTGATACAACTAATGGCGCCACCAAGAGTTCAGTCAAATTGATCTTATTTTGAACAGTGGGACAGTGATATCGAAGGCTCTTTGAAATGTTTGTCACCTGATTTTACATTTTCTGAAAGGTCACGACGCCTCTAAAGTTTACCAAAAAGTATCCAGGATTAGCATTTCGTTCACCCAGGGGGCGGCACCTGTTTGGTATGCTCATAACACGGTGTAACATTTGAAAATTGCAAACAAAAGCAAACTTTTAATTCCACGCTGCTCTGGGCCCAGGGGTTCTTGCTTCCAATATTTGTATCCAATCAAATCACCTGAACTCATGAAGGTATGAAGCAGTGCGTTAAGTGGAAAAGAACAAATCCTATTATCCACATATTTTTCTTTTATTTCGTCGTACTACACAAGGGTTCGGTTTCTGTCCCATGTTGACGTTAGTAAACACCGCAGTGTTCGGGGCTGGAGACCCGCGAGAATCTGCAGAATCACCGCTGTGCTGCCATCATCCTCACTGCACAGACTCACTCCAACCCAATCCCATTTCTGAGCCCCCTTCATGATCTAGTAGGTATATCCAAATAGCACCCCCTATCTGTGTCTAGTCCAAAAGCTGTTTAAATTACCTGTCATTGTCTTATTGGCAGAAATATTTCTGTGGAACTGGCAGGATTCTCAATGACAGATTTTTCTTCGTCACGTGTGAAACACGAGGGAAGGTCAAAAAGTTCTGAGACAGATGTTATCACTTCACAGGTTGCAGGGTTTGATAACTGACTTCTCGACTCCCGGCAGATTAAAAAAATGAAAAAAAAAAAACTGAAGTGAGTGAAAATTAAGTCTGGGATTTCAGTCTCGTCACAGAAATCCTCTGTCACGTCTGTTTTTACACAGGATCTTTGATCTGGATAATTAACTGTAGTATCTGACCTGCCGTGTTAGGCAGACGCTCCCTAAACCGAGTCGGATCCTTGGAGGAATTAATGCGAAGTCGAGTGAAGAAAAACCCGACGCAAAGACCTGAAACCCACGCTGTGTAATTAGTCGGCGTCTTCCCGTCCCCTCGTCTCCGCTCCGAGTTCATCCACTCCCAGCTAATTTTCACATGTCGTGTTTCCCCCTCATCTCCGCCCTCCTCAGACAATTTCCCCGTTCTGTCCTCTCATATCTGCCCTCTATTTCTACCCTCACTTTGTCTCATCTCTTCTTCTCTGTCTTTTTGCCCTTTTCACCTCCTTTTTTTTATCCTCTGCAGTTTATTGCTTTGCCTGATTTTCATAAGATTGTTCCACCAGTTTGGCAGCACTGATGAGAGTCTGTGAACTTAAAGCTGTCAAGGGCGTTAGAAAAAGAATCTCCAAAAACTGCAGTGAACCCATGAAACGCCAGGCAGCAGAATAAGACGGAAAGTGAACTGTCGTGTCTGACATCTGTACAGGACTGTACTGATGTTTCCCATTATAAATATACAATACTGCAGTTTTGTCTATATATATATAAATATATGTATATATATTTTTATATATATATTACATTAGCAACAGTGTGGCTGTTTTTGGTATTTCTGCTGCTTTTGTCTCATTTGGGATTTTTTTTTTGAATCCCATCAAAAACCCTAGGTGATGGCATTGGTTCTAAAAATAGGGGGTGGGCCCCACAGCGGGGCATGAAGCTATATATGTTACGTGCAGCAAGGGAAATTAGTTTTTATTTTAATATTTAGTTTTGTATATTCTGATTTGTAATTTAAACGTCTTTGTTCACTGAGAACAGTGGCATTGTGGGAATTCCGGTGTTCAACATGAGGTTCATGGGTGAATTGAAGCCAACGTTTGTGAATGTACGGATGTGGGGATGTTGAACGCCTCCCCCTTCCCCCCCGCCCCCGTCAGCTACAACAGTGTACCAGTGCTAGGGGCAGTGTTTGGTACGTGTACCTGTATGTGTGTGTGTGTGTGTGTGTGTGTGTGTGTGTGTGTGTGTGTGTGTACTGGTGGAGCAGGAACTGCTGCTGCAGCTGATATCGTTCCCTCACAGACGTGCTCTGACATTTTCTCACATTTCAGTGCCAGCAGCTAAACCCACACGTGTGCATTTGTTCACACATACTGTATGTGATGTGATGTGCGTGCGTGAGGCGCACATGTACAAAGGAGAGAGAGAGAGAGAGAGAGCCCCCCGGGCATATTGAGCCGGAGGAGGAAATGTCACAGTGAGTGGGAGTCTGTGATCATTTAACAACAGTATCTGTGGAGAAACCAGCTCCTTGGCTGTGAGACCTACACACGTACACGTACTGTACGTACATGTGAGCACACCGTGAACATGTGAAGGTGGAGCATAGCTTCAGAAGCTAAAGGCTAGCTCCACTCTATGTTTGTGTGATAAGAGAAGGGGAAAAAACAAAGGCATTTTTTTTATTATTCTATTTCAATGTGTTTTTAGAAAAAGTTGTAAATTGTTTAGAAGAGAGATTGGAGCATTCTGCCCCTGCTGGTTGTTGCCGGTACTTATACATACAGTACTTACCTATATACAAAAGCTGGAGGTAAGTCAAAAAGTATTTGAGAATTACAGAAATAAATTTAAATATGCAGTAATGTCTATTACTATTGATACTTTTCCATATTTTTATTTAAATCTCAACCTTTTCATTCTGAAATCAAGTTCTTTTAAAGTAATAATTTAGTCTTTTTAAAAGTAAAAATGAGCAAAATAACAATAACTGTTAATTAAAGGTAAAAAAAAGAAACTTTTTGACCTACCCTAATATTTATATTTTAGCATTAGCTGCGAGCTAACCACTGGATCTGATCATGAATTCTATAAACGCTGTGTTACTTTAATGGGGTCAGAGGTTACGGTCTGAGGCCGAGTACGAACCCACATCAGTCTGGACAACAAAAACGATAACAACAACAGCTGTAGTCCAGTGTTACGGCTGATCCGATTGGTCGTGATGTGGACGACCGTAAATGAAGGCGACTGTTTTGACGTTGACGACAGATGACATAGTGACACACAGCGCGGAACGCTGTCCCGCGGCCGCCGACGCAAACAAACACGGATAATTAGCCGTCGCACGTAAAATGTATAACGTCCCGTCCGTTTGCTGCTCAGATGTGTAATGAAGGTGTGTGTCGATGCGAGCACACACACACGTGAGTCAGCCGTGGCCCAGACCTCGGAGGTGCAGTAACTCCTCCTCCATCCTGGATGTCCGTGCTTCCTGTCTTCTCTGCCTTATTGACCTCTACATCCAAACTAATCCGCCTTAAATTATGCATCACCTTTTACTTGGCATCACTGCCCCCCCACTCCTCGCACACCCCCACCCCCCATAAATCTGTTTATTCCCTTTTCCTTTACAGAGCCTGCTAAACAAATTCCAATTAAGCAGGACGGTGCTACGGCGTGCGTGATAACTCAGCTGTTCGCTCCCTGCAGCAGATAAGAGTCTAATCATTGTTGTTCCGTGTACGCCAGCTTAGGAAAGACCGTCGGCTTCTCGTTAGTGCCAATTATTTTCAGGTCATTTGGTCCTCACCGGTTGTTAACAGAGCATGTGTGTCCTGTACTGTACTCTACTGTACACGTATGGATGTTTTTTTTGTTTTGTTGTTGTTGTTGTTTTTTCTTTGCTCGGGCATTAATTAAGCTTTATGTCCCTGATCCTTTTACAAAGACTCCGATGTAACTGAAATGGATATAGTTTAATGTAAACATCAGCTAATAATGAGTGAGGGCGGCCTGTGGCTGAGCGGTTTGAGGATGGGGTTTGTAATTGGTCGATTCAAGTGGGAATCCTGGCTCCGGTGTTTCTGTTGTTGTTGTGTGGTATGATTGACTTCCAGGCAACGATCTGAGCAATGAATTAATTAGTGAAATTAATCTGTTTAATTCTTTTTTCAAAAAGGCATTTTATTTTCTCAGTGACATTCACTTTATATCCAATAATTCCACTTCTTGTTGCTGTAATACACATGCGGTTATTTACGCACATTGTGGGGAAAATAGTTTCACCAAAGTCGACGTCGACCTTAAAATTCCAGCTCAGCAGCTAGCATGTGTTTGCGGAGGCTTCAGTTTTAGTCCAGACGCCCGGATTATTCCAGATTAGTCAGAGATAAAAGAATTAAAAACAGGTGTGAAACACATATAAATATATTTGAATCCAGCAACGTGGTATTTGAGGGCTGTTGATTTATTTTAATCCACAGGTACCACTATATCGCCAGATTTAAAAAAAAAAAAAATTCAACCGTTTCCCCAGTTATAATTTATACTGCATTGAAAATTTAAAAATTCAAAATTAAAGTTTGGGGTAAATAAAGTGTGTAAAATGTAATCAGTTTTAAGTAGTAAAATAGTAGAAGTTCTGAATTCCAAGGCGACGTGGTGTCACCTGCTCCGCTCTCCCTCTGCTGTTTATTTTTTCATCCCAAACTAATTGAGACGTGTCATAAAAAATTCAACGATTCGTTTCACGTTGGAGAAATGTTAGATGGTGAGCGCTGCTTAAATAACTTCCAGCAGTAATGGCTGTGACTGCTGTATGAATGAATCATTAAAGAGCAGCTGAAACGTTCACTTGATATTTGGGGAAAAGTGACTTTCCTCCCGTCAGCGGGAGAAACGGGAAATACTTGACACAGAATTTCACTTCCACTGATCTCCTCCCTCTCCCCTCATCCTCCCCCTCCCTCCCTCCCTCCCTCCCCGCCCTCAGTCCCATCACTTCCTGAGACTAAACCTGCAGCGAACGCTTCATCAACGTGTCTGTTAATTCGCAGACAATTAGATAAATATTATTCTGTGTGCTGTGTCATGCAGCGGCAGTGACACTGGTGTCATTTTCACTCCTTCAACAGACTGTGGTCTTTTTGTTTTATTTATTTATATATTTTTTATTTTTTATTTTAATTCTCTTCCACAAGCTGTGAACTCATTGACGATTCAGACGCCGG